TTAAAATTTTAGGGAATGTAGCTAAATCTAGACAGTTTTTATCTTTTCTACAACGTGCTGAGCGATTGGACGGTGTGGTAGAGTTTGTATTTAGTGCAAGCAGATTCCGTATTTATATACCTCGAGAGACATGCGTAATCACACTGTTGCTTGGAGGTATTCAGTGTCCACGCCGGGGAAGGTATGTTCATTTTATCAATGTATACATTTTTAAAAACAATAGTTGAGAAAGTGTAAACGTTAATTTAAATATCTTCTCTCCACCTCAAACGTACGCAGAGTTTAAGTACTGTCACTTGGTCAGTATAGGTCATTTAGCGAAATTGAATATTGTTGATTAAAACCTGGATTGCCTATTAAAAGCCGTCATGTGCCGATCCTATAGAATTTTCTATCATACCCTGGCACTGTATCATAAACTGGCCATCTTTACGCTTTTTCCAACCTGTCCCAGTTTCGAGAAATGATTTACAATGTGGAAGTTGCTGGGATGACGTCCTGAACACACGTACAAGCTACCGGAACTGTTGTTTTATAGCAATCATTTCTAATCTACACTTTTGGGTGGGCTAATGGCTTGCCTTTAACCTAGATCGGTCTGATATTTGGTTTCAACGTAAGCAACAGCCACTTCGCTTACATCGATTCACCTAGAATGCTGAATTTGATGGGCACTGAAATGTAAGGCAAGATTTAAGCAAACCAAATGAGTCCGAAAAAGTGCTCCATCAACAATCGCTATTCAGTCAATCTTTATTCCAGCTTCAGTTCCAGAGAAAGAACATTACGTATGACAACAGCGATGACTGTTACAGGAGTTAGTACTAGTTTATTTTATTTACTTGAACGCATAAATATTGGTACAAAGGAGCACCGAATATATATGCGCCACACGGGTCACTTGATTTGTGCAAATCAAGTTAGTCCTAGCCAAAAATAGATTGCCATCTGCGCAAAACTTCGTTGTCTGACTAACGAGTCCCAGTCAACAACAAAAGTAACTTTCCTTTATGCCTAGTCCCCCAACTTGTGTGCTGAAGTCTCCAGTTACTATTGTTACATCTAAACATTTAACTGATGGTGGAGCTCATCAATTTTAGTTACGCTGAAATCTGCCACAATGTAGGCGGAGCCTCGTTTTCCACACTGACTTCTTACTTTTATAAGTTCTTCGCATCTAACAAAACATAAACGACAGTCGATTAGTACTACCTCTTTCCTGGCACTTAGTGCAAAACCAATGTTTTCTAAATCGACTAAAAATGCTACCGGATACTCAGATAGGTTCATAGTTAACAAAATTTTCGAATCGATGTATGGTGAAAAAAATTCTAGTATTTTTTAAAAATCTGAAATACAGGTCTCAGAGATACAGCAAAGGTTGATATTGATACTTACCAAAGACAACCCAATCTATCTGCTTTTTGATGTTCATATAATTTCGCTCATTTTTCATATGTGACTTTTGTAACTAATAATCGAATAAGTGTACATATCGATATACAAATGAGTGTACTTTCGGCTACTGTCGTGTTTTGAAGGGAATAAATTCCCACTTGTGCCTGTCTTTAGCGTTCTTACTATTGTGAACAGGAGTAGGTTTTTACAACATTTGGTTCCTCAGGGTTCTGGAGCCCATGTTCGCCATTCTTTTTTGGTGGAGTTTTTTTCAGTCCGCTTAGGTAGACGTTTCTTAACCACCATCCCGGTTTAAGCGCCAGACATCGACTTTTCGTCCTTTCACCTCCATAAATTACACTCACGCTAACAAAAGGAACTGAATAGAACTTTCTTGATAGTGGCTGTAGGCGGGTGACTATATGACAGCATTCATGAGGGACAACAGACTGTCCTTACTTACCAAAGCATTCGAAGACATTACTCCTATTATTCTCTGTTTATTCATACTTTTTAACTACCCTTCACAACTCTAATGTTGTACAGTCAAAATAATTCATTGTTATAGTAGGTCATGTAATAGTAAGTGATCGTCTACTTATTAAGTTGAGCGAATTCCTTAAGTGCTTGCTCATCATTTTTTTCCGTTTCAACACTCCTATTGTTTATCCGGTTTCCTTTTGTACAGATTTTTTTCCTAAGATTTGGTTGTTATTAACACTAGAAAATCTATTTGTTCTTTAAATTATTAGAGTGGGTCCAGATGGTGTCGCTTTACCCGATATGCCATTCAGTAACGAGGCTTACACGTTTGTTAAGGAATTGTGCATGCATCGTAACGTTGAAATTAAGGTAGAAACAATTGATAGAGTAGGGAATTTCGTTGGCTATCTTTTCGTGGACATTCCTGCTCTGTCTAACAATGGACCAGATATTAACAAGTCGTCAGGCAAGAAAAAGAAAAAAAGGGTTGCCGAAACCACTGTTAGACAAAAAACAAATCTAACTGTCTTACTAATATCTCAAGGTTTCGGTACTGTTCATCGGGCTCCCACAACCGAACGATCACCTCACTATCACGATATGATAAAAGCAGAAGAAGATGCCAAAATCAGTCGGTGTGGTCTGTGGTCATCCGATCAATTCGTAAAGGAATGGGAAGCCGAAGTCCAAAATAATTCAGATCCCACTGCTTTGAGCGGTGCAGAGGACGGTAGTCTTATTCCACTGACTGGTGTCTCAGAATATTTGGACGACTTATCAGAACTACAACTTAATGAAAATAGTGATTCGACAACTGTGATCAATAATGATAATATTAAGGTATAAAGCATATTCTTTGAATCTTTATGGGATACAATATTTTCTCCCTGCATATATTTGAATTTTCCAAAGTAAGAACATAAATGTGCATATATATATATATATATATATATATATATATATACGAACAAGAATTGAAGAGGGAGGTTGATTATGAATACAGTGGTCTTGAGTGCTGTTAGAGGTATGAGGGCGGTTATCACTTCCCGGTTACCCACATCGTGGAGTTCTTCTTGAGGTATCTGAGAAGGAAATTGCATTAGAGGTGGTCTTAGTGACCTGAGAGCGTGACCGCAGTACCCAAGGGACAACTGCTTGAGGTCGGTCACACACGACCATTTTGTGAGTAATTCTCGTGTTATCCTCGTACTTGTTGAAACCTTACCGCCGGATACGGGTATCCGGGGGGTAAGGCTAGGTGTGTATTTTAGGGCTCGACGTTTTGTTGGGAGGCAGCATCGCTGTCATCCTGGTTGTCTGAAGGAAACATCTTACTGCCGTCACTTCTGTACAGTCAGTAGTACGACTTCGCTTTCGGACCTTGAGGAACGATTGTTCCAGCTAGTATAGCTCGATTGATTCATCACGATAGACAAGGCCGATCACCATTTCAGGGTAGCAACAACGGTATTATATCCTTATATGCAATTTTTCTTTTATATATTAATACCATTGAATTAACTACTTCTATGAACCCAGTGTTCATCTTACTGTGCTAATGAGGTATAGCAACTTGAACCGATGCATGTATGACCTGATATATATATATATATATATATATATATATATATATATATATATATATATATATATCGGTGCCTGAGTATTAAAAATTCATCTGCCTCAAAATAAGATTCTTTTAAAAAATCCATTAACAAATGTTAAACAATTGTATCGTGCATGATATTATATAAATTTAAAGTGCGAAACACCACTCTTTAATCATTTTCTATAGCAGTTATCATGGAAACCTGTTCAAATAACCGGGATCTCCAGACCTGCTTCTGGTAGTCAGGGTCTTCGATTCTTCGCTCAACACTTATCAGATGCGTGCACCCTGGTCAAGATTAGTCAAATGCTGAATAGCCAGTCATTTCCTTCATTCCCATCAGAATACTACCCTAAAAAAGGTAGTCTGTGTATTGCATGTTTCAGTTTAGATAATTGCTGGTACCGAGCACGTGTCATTCGTAGTTCACCCAAATCTGTTACAGTTCAGTTTATTGACTTTGGTAATGAAGAAGTAATCGATTCAGCTGAGTATTCATCACGTCTTTCTCCTCTTCCATCTGGCCCACTAATGCAACTTCCACCACAAATGAAAGAGTATCGTTTGGCATTTGTTCAACTTCCTCCCGATGCTTCCGATCGTGTGTTTGCGGAGCGTGCTTTCTGCGACCTCGTTGAAAACAAAGAAGTAGGTGAAGTGTTTGCACTGGGTTCATCTTTTGTTTTTCGTTTTATAAGACTCTCATTGGAGTACAATGCGTATTAATAACGTCTGCGTACCGTTAGATAAAATCAAAGTATCTAATTCATGACCGAATTACAGATATATACTTAGTAATTCTTAGATTATGTCTATGTTATTAATTTTGATTCGTTCAGGTGTTTAATCCCGTACACTTCTACACGTGAAGTCGGAGGTTGATTATGAGAGAGTGGGAGACACTCGTAAGCTACTAGTATTTGACCACATATGCCTCAGAAATGTTGCTGGCGTCTGCTGGGATCACCGGGTAAGTAATAGTGAGGTTAGACGCAGGGTATTAGGGAATGATGGTAAATCAGTCGATGAGGTTGTGAATCTTCATCGACTGAGATTGTTGGGCCACGTGTTACGTATGCCTGAACACCGATTACCACGACGTGCAATGCTATCCGGTGTTGGGGATGGTTGGAAGAAAGTTAGGGGTGGCCAAACCAAAACGTGGCATCAGTGCTTGAAGTCACTAACTTCTAGTCCGAGCCATGTCGGTAGATGCAGACTACTTGGTTGGGGTCCGCATGACTATCGTAACCAGTGGTTGGAGACTCTTGGTGACATGGCTCAGAATCGATGACAATGGCGTCGGTGTATACACTCTCTGTCTTCCCTTAAACCGTGAGATTAAAATCACTTCATATCTTTCTTTCTACGAACTAATTCTTTCTTCCTGTACTATATCCTTATTGCAATCTTTCTTTTATATAATACCACCATTGAATTAACTACTTCTATGAATCTGGTGTCCATCTTGTTGTGTTAATGAGGTATGGCAACTTTGACCGATGCTATGTGTGCCTGGTCCTACGTTGTAGCTGACTGACTGACTTTTACACGTAGCACGTATAGATCGAAGTGTTATCTAAACACATTTATTTTGCTCATTTATATGCCACTTAGCTACATTCCCTGTTAGCATCACCCTTTAAAGCTCAGAACGGTTATCAAATCATTCAAATGAAGGCTTATTAGTTGGGACTTGGTTTTCAACTCAGTTTTGAGCACCACTCCACCTGTTGTGATTTTTGAACAGTTGGTTAATATCCCTTGCACAAAGAGATTTAATCCCTAGCAAACCTGTAGTTGGTCCTTGCGTTTGTTCGCGAAATACAGATTGGATCAAGACATGTTCCGTGCAGGATCGTGTTGGGGTATGCTGATTACCTATTTCTTATCCAACAAGCGCTAATGGATACCTGGAAAAGACTCTAGAATCTCCCTATGTAAAAATTATGAACATACTAACGTTTTTCTTATTGTGATTCCTACTTCCATGCAACCTTCTTGTTTGGAATATAAATACCTTCCTGCTCAATTGTGTTCTGATATGGGTACTTATCGAGTGAATTAGCTTCCAAGAATAAGCAATAAGATTAGCTGGGTCGTTATAGAAATTATAACAGCGTTGTAGTAGTTTAAATTTATCGACTCATGAAAATTATCATTTTTCAAAGATCCTCCCTTCTCGATGCTTTATCTGCATTTCAAGATTTGTTTCTGAAAAAGTGATCTACTCCGTCTTCAGGTAAAATATTCCCATATTTTTCAGGAAATATAAACCAGTAGATTTTGGGTAAACTGTAATGCACCCAAGTCCGCTTGTTCGATTACTTTAGTCTTCTTTTTTTCAACAGTTGAGACTTGCTGTTCAGTACGAATCAGTACCGTGTGGAAACGAATCACTGAAACCTGTCCCAGCAGTGACACTATTGCTACCAGTTGCAGATCTTAAAACATCTGGGTCATCTGTCTGTCCAAACGACATAGACATCAGTGAGTCACTGTTGTCTAATGGTTTGGTCTGTGTTGAACCTATCCAGCCTCAGCTTCTTAAACGACTACCACGCAATCTGCTCCACAAGTATCTAGATGCGCAAGCATTAGCAAAAAAAGAACGTAAAAACATTTGGCGATATGGTGACTTTCGTGCAGATGTGGAACAGCTGTGATATACATTGCACAACAATTAGAACCAAAAATGTGCCTTTAAAATACCAGCTGAATATGAACGACTACCGCCCAACAATAGCATCAACGTTATGCTCTGATTCATTTTGTCTGTTGTTTACTATATGTTGTAAGAGTACACTTCATTGTTGTGTTTGTCTTGGAATTTCAGGTAGCTATTCTTCCTTTTTTTAAAAATGTAAAAAGCAGGTTTACTTTAGTTTGTCAATATCTATGATATTCTTGTTGTTCATTGGACTCCCTAAGTACAATATAAAAGTAATGTTATAAAAACCAGTTTTTGTTAGTAAACTACTTTAATTTCTAACTTTAGTCACTTGTATTTTCGTTTTTCTTGCCAAATGTTTTAAACTATTATATCTGTGGCAATTATGTTAATTATACGAAATTATGCTCCTAAATATTTCTGTACTCAGTAATGTATGTTTACGGTAATAAACTGTGATTTTGTTTTGTATGGTTGCATTTAAATGATCACAATGCGCTACATGCATCTTCATGAAACTTGACAGCTTATTTCCTGACTTTGTGCGACACCCTCTCTAGTGAGTTTTATTGAGTTTGTCAATTGTAATGTTGGCAGTCAGTCGTAAACAACACAGAACTTTGTACTTAAGTTACTGTCACACCACATCATATCGAGATAAAACTGCTTACACAAGTGCCAGTGCATTAGAATTAGTAACAGTATCTGTAGAAGTAAAAAAAGCGTTAAGCGCAAACAGTACGATTCGAAGAAAGACGAACTGGCGAAATTAAGAACAACAATTTTAAAGCACGAAACAAGGAATTTATCTGGTACTGATTCTAACCCATGTCGCTCAACTCTCTAATGATTGATTACAGTGATCGATTGAATACGAACTAGGCAATCTGCATCCACTAATATGACCTACCTTAACAGTCATGAGTAGAGGAAAACTGCGAATTCGCTCTCCATCGGGGTTTATTATATATTGTGCCTATGCGTGGAGGACGTGACCTAGACACCATATTATTTATTTATTTGGACACATAAATATTGGTACAAGAGAGCGCCAAATATATATGCGCCACACAAAACAATGAGAATTTAAAGAGGAGAAAAAGGTACGGAGTGTAAGAAAAACGAACAATAAAGAAGAGATTGGTGTAAGGTAGCGTAGTAATAATAATAGTAATAATGAGGGGACGGGAAGGTACAATCAGAAGAAATCTTTCAGTTAAGGGAGACACAACCACTTTATGAAGAAAGTAAAAGAAGGTTACAGCAGGATCGCCACTGGCTTCTATTCTGAGCCATATCTGATAACGTCTCTAGCCACTGTGTAGCACCATCTCTCGGACCCCAACCAGGGAGCCGTGAGGGACCAACAGAAGCCAGTCCTTTGAAGCTTTCTTTCATACCACGACACCATGTTATACACTGACCACCTCTCCGCTTCTTCCAACCAGTCCGAGTCGGCAAGTAATGCACGACGTGGAATTCTATGGGACGAAATTCGTAGAACATGTCCAAGCCACTGAAGTCGGTGTTTCAAGATGGTGACATCAGTTGCATTATCGTCTCTGCCCGAACACACGATGCCGAACCTCTGCATTACTAACATGGTGTTGCCACTAGTTGCAACAAACCTTCGGAGACAGAGAGGATCGAATGCAGAGGGTTGTCTAACATCCTCAACTCGGAGGCCAGGTTTCACAAGCATAGACCAACCGGCCTTTTACAACCAGACTGACATCACGAAAGCGCCAAAGTGGGCCCGGATTGGCATAAGCCTCTCTGGCTTTCACTATACATGAACTGATCTCGTCACTCACGCCACCACCAGCTACCTAGATACACGACATTCTCGACTACTATTTGCTCACTATCCAGGGTGAGTACAGGATTGGAATCCTGCCAGACTTGTAGAAGTACTTCGCACTTCGAAGGTGCAAAGCACATACCATACCCACGGACACTGATTGCCAACTGACTAAGTGTGGATTGCATGACTTGGGCGTTATCGCACAGTAAGACAATATCATCCGCATACTCAAGGTCGAGAAGTCTTTTTCCAGACAACAGATCCACACCGCCATTTCTTACATCCACCAGAATGTCGTCGATGGCAAAGTTGAAGAGAAATGGTGAGATTGGGCAACCCTGCCTAACCCCACTGCTCGAATGGAACAATGGAGAGAGGTTGTTGTATGCCGTCACTCTACATGGACACCATAACTAATTTGCGAATTGATAACTAATAATTCAAATATCCATTTAGACCCGAAGGCACATTTTCATTTTCCAAGGCCACCAGGAGCTCGGACGTGATGAATTCGTAGTTGCATTTATTCTCTACCTTAATTTAAATTTAGAGTTAGGTGTCATTTGATCTCATTTCCTTCGCCTCGAATGTAGTCTTATTTTGTTAATTTCCTCTCTTTGTTCGCTTATATAACGTGTCCTTACCTAGAACGATAACTCAACTACGTACATTCCCATTTTAACGTTTATTGGATCATTCGTATCTCATTACATCCATTGTCTCAAATCTAGTACTTACTTCCACAGACAATAGTCGTTAGACTACAAACATATATTCAGTGGAATTTCTACCATTGTTAGTTTCTCGCAGCTGAAGTGATCATATATCATACATGTACATGTCTCAGCATAATCCATGAAATTCCCATAAATATATTTTAATAAGAGACATTTAGAAGCAATAACCAGTCAACATAAGTTATCAAAAACCGAGTGATCATGCTTACAAGCCTACTTCAATAACTTAAGTTGTAATTTCATAAATAAATAAATGATTAATGACTGAATTATAGTTTGACAAATATTCTATTTTAAAGTCATCGAAATCATTGTTACGTAAGAATTAAATATTTTGTCTAAATGACTACAGCATATTAAAACAGAGTATAATGAAAAATTGAAAATCAACAAAATGATCAAAAACTAATATAAACAACAAATTATATACAGATCCTAATGAGAATGTAACAAGTTAGAATAGAAAGACAGAGTTGAAAAAAACAAACTATTTGAAGAAAGTTATTGGACAACTCAACCTGTACTGTTAGTCTAAATAATCTAGTGAGTGATACAGCACAGCATTATGCATACACACCTCCAAATTTGTATTAACTAAGCTGCCGACGTCGAGTTTTTTGCTTGTCAAAACGTGCTTCCATCTCTTCAAGAATACGTGGTGTATATCTTACTACAAGTTTCACAGTACCTATAATGGAAAGAAGATTATTATTGCAATTTGTTTGATATGATTTAAACTGGAAAAACAATGTATAACAAGTAATTATGAATATACCAAAACTACGCATAATGTGGATTAGAACAAGCATATATAGACGAGTATTCTAGCATTGTGAGAAGGCGATAATAAGGATATTAACATGAAACTCTGTAATAATGAAATATCACAAGTATTGATAGGGAAAAAAACATCTTAAAATCCACGGTACATCACCTTGTGCTAATTTCAAAAGTTCAACAGCTCTTTCATGATGTTCACTCTCCACAGAAATCCCATTTACTGATAGTAATTGATCACCACGTTTTAAACCACCATGACGATCTGCAACACCACCAGGAATAATTCGACTTATGTAAATAGGTGAATTTTGTTCTTTACCACCCATAACATTGAAACCTAGACCTTCATTAGTTTTTGGTAGTTCTATGACACGTGGATGAGCGTGTCCTTCACTTGCAGCAAAAGCTGCGACAGTAGCTTTGGCTGTTGCACTTGCTTTCACCTAATAAGAGTTTAAATAAAATGAAGAATAAAAGTCGGTCAGTTACTACTTAGAACCTAGTATGTATGTAAATCGGTCCACATTGTCATATCTCATTAGCATACAAGATGAAATTGTAAGGTCTTATCACAGAATAGTAGATGTAGTAATAATATCACCGATAATACGAAAGATTAGGCATCGAAGATATCATTCAAGAGAATACAAATTAATGTAATAACGAACTATGAGGAATTCAGATAATAAGTTGGGCAGATAGAAAATAGATGCGCCTGCGCTACTACAAACCCAAAGTCTCGAACCACTGATTACGATAATCAGGCGGACATCACCTAGGTAGTTTACACCGACTAATACGGCTGTCTGGTTGCCAATGACTTTACGGAACGATGCCACGTCTTTGCTGGGCCCCTTACGTCTATTTATTCAAGCACATAAACGTTGGTACAAGAAGACACCAAATATATATGCGCCACAAATCACTTGATTGGTGTGAGGACTGGGACACTACCTGGCAGACCAAACAGGAGCGGGTGGTCTTCCTAGGAGACCACCTTTGACGTAAAGGTCTAATCCATAAGGCAGTGGAGCAACGTAGGTAGGTTCAGCCCCACCGGTAGCCGGTGACCAACAATAGGTTCACACGCCATTTGTTTTCTCAGGATTCTAGGGTCTATGTGCACCATTGGTTTGGAATCAGGGTTTTCCAACATCCCTGAGTGGACCCTACGTATCCACCAACCCGATTAAGGCGCCGGACATTTGCTTTTCGCCCTCTCAGTATGGGGCGGGTATGCCGGAACGAGTCCAACGACGAGGGCATAAAATTTAAAAGGTCTCTCTTATGAAGACAAACTAAGACAACTCAATTTATTTCCGTGATCTTGCTGTAGAATACGGAGTAATATAATATTGGCTTATCCCATAATGAACGATGACCCCGACATTAATGTCTTATCTTTTCCTCCCGTCTAGGACTGATCATTTGAAAGGACATTCGAAGAAAGTGTAAAAACCGAGATCACGTCGTCTTACGTCTGGAGTTTCGTTTCTCGCAGCGAGTAGTGAATTACTGGAATTCTCTAGCGGAACACGTAATATCAGCACCTCTTGCTGATGTATTCAAAACGAGATTGGACCTCTACAGTGTTACAAACTGCAAGGATTAACGTAGGTGGTATACCTCCCACCCTTATCACTGAAGACTGAATAAATTCATAGCAGTTACTTCAATGGTAGTAATATGTAAAAGATTGCATATAATTGTATGATACAAGGAGAAGGAACTAGTCCGTAGAAAAGTGTAAAGTAATTTTAATCTCATGTTCTAAGGGTACAGTGAGTGTATATACCTAAGCCATTGTGGTGGGTTTTGAGCTATTTCACCTTGTGATTTCAAACTCATTCCATAATCTCCGTGAACTTCAGGCTTGGGCCTTGAGAACATGCAACGACACTTTTCTAGTAGGCTTTTAAAAGCATCTATCCTTTATTGAATAAATCAAGTGGAGACGTTGACAACAATTTCCGCTAGTAGTTTACATGAATGGATTACTCAGTAGCATAAACGACAACATTGAGGCTCAGAAAATTACGTTTGTGTAAAACCCATAATACAACAAAACAATACTAACTTCTTCCGACCCATTAATATCAACAGTTGTATATATATGCTCATAAACTTCACGAATCATGTCGCAAAAGTCT